CCTTTCTTCTAATATACACCTCATTCAAAATTTCTGCTCCCTCATGATCTCTGCATCCTTCCTTTTCTTCCCTTCTCATTCTCATAGCTTTCTCCCCCCTCTTCCCATGTTCTCAATTTGCTCAGGGGATGGGGACCCTTTCCCCTCCTCCAGGGGAAAAAGTTTGTCTCTTTTAGGGGGTCTTACTTTGTTTCCTATCTCTGGAAGTGTGGATTGTAGGATCGTAATCCCTTACTCTGTGTCTAAAAAGTAGGACTTTTTTTTTTTTTAATCAACATACTGATAACAAAGTCAAAATTCGAAGAATCTAAGTATACTAGACCTTGAAAGTACAGCCATGTATTAAAGCCCAAATAATAGAAGTATTTTTTTTCCTCAAGACTGCCTATGAATGTTAGAGCCATAACAGTTCAGTATTCTGACTCCAGGCCTGCAGCTCTGAATCTCACATAGTATTTGCTTGCCTTTGGCTGGAGTCACCCCTTAGAGCTGATAAGCTCTTGAGGCAAATCAGTGTATTCTCTTCTTGTTATTACATTTAAAGACATGTTCCATGGGAGAGATTAATTCAGCATATGAATTACCACTAATATTTTAATAAAATCATTTTATTCTAATTAACTCACAAATAAAAACAATGCATAGTTAACTAAGTAAGCTGTTTAATTATGTTTATCTCCTTTAGAGAAAATGAAATAACCATAAATTCTAGTAAGTTGTCTTTTAATGTTTGTTATTTGTCAGGGGCAAAGAGTCTTGCATAGTTTGTATTTTTAAATGAGTGACCATTTGGGATTTTTAGAACCCTTCTTTTATTATGAGGCAACTACAAATCTCCATTTAAGTGCCCCTCGAATGCTCTGGACTTTGGCTTACTCTGCGGGAGTAACATTTAATCTCTTAGGAGATATTTAAAACTACCAGGGGTGAGGTGGGGTGGAAGGTTTGCTAGTGATATCTGAGACAAACAGGCAGAGATAATGCTAATCATCTTACAATGGTCAGGATAGCACCTGCCTTCACTCCTCGCTGGCAAATAATGAGCTGACTCCCTGCTTTACAAGGGTGGGAAGGAAGGCATTTATCATGGATGGGTTCTTTGGGCTGAAATGAAAACTCTATGAAACTGATGTCTAAGGCAGATATGGTAGTGACTTCATCAACAAAGCTGCTGTTTTCTTTGGGGCTATTCAAAACCCAAACAACACTGCCTGGTACTGGCAATAAACACGGAACTGAGAAACACAAACACTCTAAACCCTCTGTTCTTTTTAAAACAGGAATATACAATTGATATTTTTTTTGCCCAAACCTGGTATGACAGACGTTTGAAATTTAACAGTACCATTAAAGTTCTCCGGTTGAATAGCAATATGGTGGGGAAAATCTGGATTCCAGACACTTTCTTCAGGAACTCCAAAAAGGCTGACGCTCATTGGATCACTACTCCCAACAGGATGCTACGAATCTGGAATGATGGTCGAGTTCTCTACACCTTAAGGTATTATTTCGCGCGCGGAGGGCGGGGGTGTTTGTTGAAAATAAAGGAACAAAATCAACCCTATGATTTTAAGAAGGAAGGCTGGTTGGAAAGGAAGGGAAGCACAGGGATCTTTGCTTTCTGTATTGCTGTCATATAAACTAGGGCATTTCTGCATACAGGACTTACTGTTCTGTAGAAGGTTATGAGAATGGACTTAAGTTTTAGAATCCCTACCAAAGTTCTTTTTTATGTAAGAAGCATGATGTTTCCCTTGTAATATTTTCTATTTACATGAATGAGTGAGCTCAGATATAAATTAGAAAAGATTTAGCCACCACTCCCTGTACTGTGTACACTTCTCCCTACCTCCCACTAACTTACCTCTCATTCCTTAGTGTCTATGAATATAGTAGTCATACTTAGCTGTCAGGTAAGAATCTCACCCTTCACATTTGTTAGAGAGTGATGGCTAACCACAGGGCATGATACAAAAGTATGTCAGATTCAAGATTTATTTGTATATTACCAAAAATTAAGTAATATACCCCTAGATTTTAGCATGTAATAGGTCCAGTAAAGTATATTTATGTCTTATGATTCTTAATACTAAACATATGAATCATGTTATTTTAAAATGGCTTAATCTAACAAGATTTACATCAGTGACTGAGAAAAATGGCTTCAATTGGGAAAGTAAGCCATTGTGCCAATTTTAAAGTCATTGGGAATTTACTAAATCAATGATAAAGTAATTACTAGAATGAAAAATTTGAAAATCAAAGTCTGTATTGTAAATCAGAGCTCATTCTGGCTTTTGAAATATGCAATCATTCATCCTTGCTCATGCCTTGTTATCATTTTATAATGTTTTAGTCATCTTTGAGTTTTATTAATTTGAGGAAGCACTACGGTGTTTAATTATGGAAGCCTCATAAAAATGCCAATTATGGTATGCTTAAGGCTTGAGACAATGTATATATAAAGACATGATTTTAGCTTCTGTATGTGTACACATACAGATACCTAAGTTTATAGAGCTATATATATCTGAGTCTATATTTAAATCTGAAATCTATCTGAATTATCTTTAATTGTAATAATATCATTTGAATTTTAAGAGATAATTCTAATAAATATCTAATTTAATTAAAATCTCATTTGTGAATAAAGCCAAGCTTTTCTTTGAAGAAAAATCATAAAGAGACAGTGATTAAAGCCTCTTGCCTGACTCCAAGTCCTGTGACTTGTTCCTTGCCATGTGACCTTGAGTAAGCTCAAACAACAGAGCCCTAACTGAGCTTTCTTGATCCAAGGTTTATAGGCAATTAAAGTTGCACAGAAAGATCATTAATTGTTTTATTATACCACAAAAAATTTAAATGTCTCCAATTAAATGTAATGCTAATTGGAAAGTCTTTTAAATTAAGTTTTTATAAAATAACAGTTTTATCTCTTAAGCAGTGGTATTGGAGGTTGTAAGAAATACAGCTCACAGATGTGAATATTTTGAAAACTACCTACCATCACCATTGCAGGGTGACTTTTTTCCAAGCATCTCGAAAGGTGTCAGAAGATCTAAACTCCTTTCTATTCAGACTTGTGGAGCCTCAGTTCAGGGCTTGAAACTCTGCAACTTTAATCCTGTGCAAACTGAGACTGGTTAAGGCTTTCAAAATCTGTCAGTATATGTGCATTTAGCATCTCTTTTTTAGTGTTTAGATAGTCTCCTCCTCTTAAACATCCTATCTGATGGCTTCATGATGTTCTGTTGTAAAAGTGCACACAAGTCCATTGCACAGCAGAGGTATTTTAAAACCCACCTATGGCAATTTAAAAACAGCAAGTTCTTGCCAACAGAAGGCTTTGTGCTAATTAGCTGATAAGATCAGAGAACTGTCAGCATTCATTTCTATGCAAACATTAAATGAGCTTAAGTTCCTAAAACAGTTTGTTCTCTTAAATAAGTTAAATATATCCACTGAGAAGCCTCCAATGTGTGCAATTAATTTGTAAAAAATAAATAAGATAAAATACAAAACAAGTAACCACATGTTTTAAATAAATGGAGTTGAGGTGAATTAAATGATTCTGCTTGCTCTGTGAAATGATTTGCTTAGAAATAATTTTTTGCCTGGAACTTAGAAATGTTTTCACTGAAGATCAGATTGTGTTATCAATCAGAATGTCAGATTTTTCTAGAAAGGATGCCAGTGTGCATTTTAGAACTGATGTTAGTGGTTTTCTCTGTGTTTATTGTCATTATAATAAGGCTGACAATTGATGCTGAGTGCCAGTTGCAATTACACAACTTCCCAATGGATGAACACTCTTGCCCCCTGGAGTTCTCCAGTTGTAAGTAATGGTCTGCCTGTATTATGCCCTATCACCTGCAGTCATTCAATCACCTCATCAATTAATGTAATGAATCATAGAAGTTGCATAGTTGCATTGGGCTATGTTCTTGACTTTGAAATATTTTTTTCCATTCTTTTATTTTTGATTTTATATTACATTTCAACCACACTTTTCCCTCTAACCCCTCCTCCCACTCCCTCACCTCCCCCACCCTTCCTCACCTCCCAAAATCTTTTTTATTGTAATTCCAAATTGTGCCAATTAAGACAATCTCTGCAGAAGAATTTATTGAGTGGGGAAGTTTTAGAAAATAGAGAATGCCTAGAATCACTGTTGAGGGGACTTTAGGACCAGGCCTGGACTCAATAGAAAGGGCACAATGGTTGATTCTATACATCCAGTTCCTTTCTTCAGTGGACTCAGAAGATTTTATAACACATTCTTAGACAAGGTGTATGCCGCATTAACACCATTCTGTTAGTATAATATATGTTAAATGCATGGCATAACAGCACAATAAAAGTGTGACTTACTGTTATTATTTTCAATGGATTCTATGCCAAGAGGATCTTTGGCAATTCCACCATGGATTAAACATTAACCCTTCTGCAGATATTTGAAACCAAACCTAAGTGTTTTCCTTTTTGTTAATCATCCACATTAGATTATCTCTTACTGCCTTATTTTTCATATGACAGTTGGACATAGTTAGATGCATGAAAAATTAATTATGGATTTTTTTGTTTTTGTTTTGGTTTTTCGAGACAGGGTTTCTCTGTGTAGCTTTGGAGCCTATCCTGGCACTCACTCTGGAGACCAGGCCTGCCTCAAACTCACAGAGATCCTATTACCTCTGCCTCCCAAGTGCTGGGATTAAAGGCTTGTGCCACCAACACCCGGCTTAATTATGGACTTAAAACATACACTTTCATCAACATAATTTTTCTGCTAGGGAGTCCACGGAAACTCTTAAGATCAATAAATTCATAACCGTGGTTAATTTTTAAAGGCCAATTATAAAAGAAACAATCATCTGCTCATCATATCTTCAACTGCAGGGATAGATATGTATACAATATATATTTAGAAAACTTTCCATTATATATCAAATTTCATGCTTATCTACTTGAGTAAAATGTGTTCACTTATAAAGGTGACAATTCCTTCACTTTTAATGAGAATAAACTTATTGTCTTACTAACCAAGTAGAGCTGTTGTTCTTTTGAATTAGTTGAAACTCAGAAACAAGAAGTAATTGTGCCATGAGATTGAAATTTGCAATTGCCCTCTGAACACACACACACACACAATGTAATGCCACTTACTGCTTCAAGAAAAATCAGTCACTGCTACCCTCCTCACAGTGTCCCCTAACAGGACCATGCTTTTCCCATTCTCAGTGTTGCTACACATGTCCCTAGCTTTTCTGTAGATGTCTTCTATCTGCTCTCTTTTACAAAAGTAAATAAAGATTCAACCAAAGTAAAATCAAAGGTAAAACAAAGAATATTGAATTCAAATGGAAAAATAATACTTTATAGTCAAGGGTTATCTTCACTTAACATTATTGAGTGCTTATTTCTTACTTATTCATTCCTGTATCCACTCATTTGGGGCCGTATGAGAGAGTGAAGTCAGGACCTTGTTTCATGCTAGACAAACATTCTACCACTGAACTTTCTTACCAGCCTTGGCTTTAATTATATTCAAATTTTACTGAGAACAGGACAGTTCACAGTTAATTCACTATAATATTGTCTACTCAGTAAATACTCACTGCCCATAAATTCATGATATAGGAATATGATAATCTCTATTAAGAATTATTTTATAAAAAATTAAGAAAATTCCAATGATAGCTATGAAAATCATACTCATAGTCATTACTTTGCCTTGACTTTCAGTGTAATATGATTTTTCTTGAAGATCTTCTATTTCCCTAAGTGCTTTTGTGTGTTCCCATTGACATTTCTACATACAAATTTCAATGTTAAATTTCTATTTTAAAACTGAGTCCAAACTGCATCTTAATAACATCCTATATTTTCACTTCTCCTTGCTCTCTGCCATACACTAGCCCTGTAATCCTAATAATCAGATGGGTGCAGGAGATGATGGACTAAAGGTCCATGAACTACTTGTTTAGCAAGCCTTATTCCCAGAAGCCAAAACAAAAGATGGGGAAGGAGGGAGGGAGACTGAACAACTTAATATCTGATAGTAGAAGCGGTCATGATATTAGGAACCACAGATATATCTTTATTGCATCTTTCTCATTGTTTCCCACGCCTCCATGACTCTCAGAATCTTAAACTACTGGCAAGCCTTCAGTATGAAACAGGATATTACATCTCTAATCTTCATTTTGTACCTGACATTTTTGTATTATCTCAGGTGATATAAAGCACAGCTATAACATTTAGAACATCATTTATTGTTTACATTCCATGCAATTAAAAGTGATTTTTCAAAGGCAGTTTTGACTTTGTTACTTTCAGTCTTTTCAGTCCAGGGTGCTTATATGACTTACAGTGCTGTCTCCATTAGCATTTACAACTTGTTCAAAGAAATTAGCTGCTAACTCCGGCCATCCACTGTTGCATTTAATGTATTCATTCTCATCTCATGCTAGATGGTTATCCACGTGAAGAAATTGTTTATCAATGAAAGCGCAGTTCTGTTGAAGTGGGCGACACGAGATCTTGGAGGCTGTATCAGTTTTCATTTGTTGGATTGAGGAATACCACTGAAGTAGTGAAGACAACGTCTGGTAAGTCACTCTTGAAAAGAATTTTAAGTGACACATAGAATTTGGAAAGCTTTTCAATGCATATCTATGCATGACGTTCAGAAAGACCATGAAGCAGACTAATTTCTTTGGCAAAATGGTATTTGGAATTCTAGTAGCATAGATGAATATACATGTATCCTATCAAAGCAAATAAAATATTTTAGTAATTGACTTACTAATTTCTTAAAAGGAACTGCAATTATTTGTGAAAGGAAAATGTTTATTTGGTGTAAATTAATTTATTCCTTTTAGGGAGTATGTTTCTTAGTCTATTGAAATTGAAACATTTTCAATAATCGTAAGAGTAAATGAAGTGGATGAGGACTTATTAAATTTCCAGTTCTTTAATTTTTTTTTTAAAAACTACTTTTGTTAGGTCTTTGAGAATATCATGCAATGATTTTTTAGCATACCCTCTTCAAATCCCACCCTTATAATGCATTCACCCCTTCCTTTCCAACTTTGCGATTACTCTTTTTTCTTCCCTTTCATCCAGCTTATGTTGCAAAACTAGTGTTAGAGTTGTGGTCTGTTCTGATGTATAACCTCTGTTAGTATATCAGAGGTTCTCTCATAAAACAAACAAAAACAAAAACCTGAATCCTCCTCTACCAGAGACTATCAAATGCTAATAGCTCTTTAGCTTAAGGATTATGTATTTACCTTCCAAATTCAATGTTGGGATTTCTTCTTGATGGAGTGTGTATAGTCTTTATGCATGCTGTCACTGTCACAAATGCTATGAGTTCATATGTTCATATGGTTTGTTGTGTCTGGATATCACTGTTCAATTTAGTAATTTTATACTGGCTCCAAAACTGGACAAGATAACATGCTTTGCATATTGGATAGACCTGTCTCTAGTCACAACTGCATCAGTAATCAGCTATAGATACTGTGATGTTATCTGAAACTCTGATGGGACCAACTATCCCAATTGCTCCATAGGTACAAAAAAAAAAAAAGAAAAAAAACCAAAAAAAAAAAAAAAACCCTACTTATTGAGAGTCTGTATATATGCTATACCCATGTATTTATACATATTATACATAAAATGATCTGATATTTCTGGAGCTGTCAATCATTAAATGCTGCTAAAACTGCACCTGTTAAGTACACATAGCCAGGACATTAAATTAGTAAGAGAAGATGAAGGTCAATATTTTTTATGAAGTAACATGACTTTTAATGGTAGGGTAGTCTGAATAAAAATAGCTACCACAGACTCATGTTTGAATATTTGGTTCCCACTTGGTTGAACTGCTTATGAAGGATTGGGAGGTGGGGACTTATTGGAGGAAGTATGTGCTGTCTATTTTTATGTCCAGGTGACAGAAGCTAAAACCATCTGAGAGGGGGGATCTTAATTGAGAAGATACTTCAAAAAGATTTGGCTTCAAAAAGTAATTAAAACTGTAGGCATTTTCTTAATAAGTGATAGGTTTGGGAGGGCCCAGCCCAGTATGACTGGTACCATCCCTAGGCTGCTAATCCTGTTTGTTATATAAAAATGAGCTAAACAAGAAATGGGGAGTAAGCCACTCAGCAGCATTCCTCCACAGCCTGTCCACCCTGCCTCCAGCCTGTTTTGATTTTTTTTTTCATCTCTCCTTCCCTCAGTGAACTATGATTCAGGATATGAGAGCCAAATAAGCCCTTTCTTCCTCAACTTGGTTTTGATCACGATATTTTATCACAACAATAGTAACCCTAACTAATACCATCTGTGCCATTGTGGGTAGGCTTTCAGATTTCAAAAGCCTACAGCATTCCCAGTTATCTCTGCCTCATGGTAGTGTTTCAGCAATCAAACTCTCAGTTACTGTTCCAGCACCCTGCCTGTATGGTAGCTCCCACACTCCCCATGATGATAGTCATGGACTCACCCTCTTAAACTGTAAGCCCCAATAAACTCTTCTGTGAGATGAGTTGGTCACAGTGTTTTAGCACAGTAATATAAAAGTAACTAATATAGATGGTATGATGTTTCAAAATGCTCTGTGGGAACAAAATGGACATATTTTGTGATGAGGAACATTTAACATGTGCAACCAGTTTGAACTCTGAAAAGCTGAATGTGTGCTCTGTAAAGAGTATTCTAACAGCTCAATGTTATTATACCAACTTAAATATGTCCCAATTTCAGACATAAACACTAGGTTCTCACCATACTATCTATTAATATTAAGGCAAATATAAGTCTCAATCAGATTTCCAATGGCATCATTTAGTAAAATTCATAGAACATATCTGTTGCTCAGAGATGAGAAGAACCAGGAACTAAATGAAACTGATATTTCGAGGTCAGCCTTCAACACACCATTTTCCAAACTCCAGAAGGATCTGATCCTTGCATCTCTTCCATGACTGGCACATTTCTTCTAAAGATTTCTTTGTTTTTGAAAAGCAAACAAAGAGGTTGAAGCAGTGTTTGTGTATGGAGAAAGGTAGCCTTCTGTTCCTTCATCCACAGGGATGCTGATCATCATGTGCCAGAACATTTTTTTTTTTCATTTGGTTCAAGGGGAAAAAAAATCTCAAGACTACCTTTGAACTACAGCTCCCAATATATAAAAGTAATATAAAAATAATCTCCAGTGGCTGGTTATCTCTTCCAGAAAGAGAAACTGGGATTAAGTTCTTTGTATATTTACATTTCTATATTTGTACCAGCACCCTAAAACAGCATCCACAAACTCATGACTAGCACACTTTTTGTTTATTCATTTTGTTCCAGCACGATGTTCAGCACAAATGGCAGTAGAGGAAGGCTGATGCTGCAATCTAAGTTCCTAGTATAACACTCTGCGCCCCAATGTCACTTGGAGACTGCCTGTGGGCATTTGTTAAGACAAATGCACAGAAGAGACTGATCCAATCACTTTATACATGGCAAAAATTACCAACGTACCATAATAATAAAATCTCTCTAAGGAAATCACAATGAAACTATAGGGAAGGAGAGTGCTAGATTCGATACAATAACTTCCCTTAATAAAACTCAATTTCATACAATTTTAGTGTGGTGGTTAGATTTAGCATTTACATTTTTTTTCTATTCCTTGTTCTCCTTTAAAAAATATGTGTTTCCTATGCATTTCTATTTCAATGGCCTCACTGAAAATAAAGCCTGAATTGGAAAATTAATGTCAATATCAAGAGGACAGCTTGATGATTTTGACATTTTGATTCTAGAAAAATCCCATGTGAAACTAATGGAAGGTGCTGTGAGACATTAAATGGAATGCTTTATGAACCTGATGATTTTCTAGAATGCTCAAAAGCAGCTGCAAGACCAGTGGCTTCTCTGTAATTTTGGTTAGAGGAGGAGGTTTATGGAATAATTAGGAGAAAAGTGACATCAAAGCCAGAATGTTCCTGGTTGATATCATACTAACATCAAAAGCGCCCAGCTCATTCCCAGAGCTGATGACACCAAGCTTTTGGAGATGAACTTCGTGGACTACTCTAATGATGCTCTTCATTTATAAAATGTTGGGAAACTGTGTGGGAAGACTGAGCAGAGTAACTCCTGGCTCATCATGGCTGAAGCTGGAGCCTATTCTCAGCACTACTTTTCTTTAAATTAGCTTACTGTATTTTTAGCTAAATTAAGTTTTTTTTTTAATTAGCAAAGTAGCAAGTCTGAATCAGTTAGTATGAATAGGAGTTACTATAAAGTATAATAAACTAAATTAATATTATATGTATTTAAGTGTGAATGTTTGTGCTGTGAAAACTGAGTATGCTGAAAGAGAGGAAGAAAAGACAGAATGTACTACAACTACCACCAACACTTGTACCCCTTTTTATAAATAAGACGGAGAACTTTGTATAGGGAAGAATTCCTCCCTACTTAAGGCATTGCTTCCTCACAGTTCTCACATTTACTTTCCTGAGTCCTCTTATTTACTATCAGTACCTCTATGCCATCCCTTGAGGAAAATATTTTCCAGGTGGTAGATTAGTGTAGCACTCACTGTGTACTGTCAGTTCAGTCACTTTATCATCACGAATCCTGATCTAACAATCCTCCTTCCAAACTCCATCTCTTCTTGATGGTTCATTATCAGGCAGCAGTGCCACCATGGCCCCTGTGAGCCAGTCATGAACACTCAGAGCCATGTCTCTGCCTCCTACACCTAATGAATCATGAAGGCTCTGGTGCCTCTGAAATCTCTTGTGTAACTGTCCTCCTTTCTGTTACCATTGCCTCTGTCCTAGTTCACAAATTTGTCTGTTCTTATCTGGACTATGTTGGCATCTTATTAAGTCATGTCCCTGCTGTCAGCCTCTCTCCTCTAAGTTTTGTTCCTTGTAAATTAAACCAAAAGCAGCAGAACTTCTTGAAATCTACGAATGTGCAACAGAATTCCCACTCTCTGCAAACAGCTTATAGCAATTCCCCAAATCACAGTACTATCTACAATTCACAACAACGCTGATGTCATGACCAGTGACTTTGAGTATTTTATTTATTTGTAAGGAAAGAGTGCAAGTTAGTATGTTTGCTCACAGACACATGCTTTTCCTTACTTATTACACTATTTTGCTCCCCTGCTGATGCTGTGAGCCCCCACTGTATGAAGCCCAGCAAACATCAAGAATGAAGCAAATTCAATCAAACTCACACTATTATTTCCAATATTTCAGAAACCAGCTTCATGCCACTTTTAGCATTGCTTTCCATAGCTTCTCCACTTGTCGTAAAACTCACCTGCTAATACATGTCTGAAATGATCTTGCCTATCCTATATTAATATTCAATCTCAGTGTTCTTTCTCTGTAACAGGACTCTTTAATTCACGAACAATATTTCAGAAAACACATTTCATTTATTCATTTAGTGTGTGTGCATGTTCCACCGTGTGCATGTAGTGATCAATTCAAACCCATGGGAGTTGGTTCTCTTTTTTTCACCATACAGGCCCTGAAGATTAAACTCTCACAAGACCGAACACTGCCCCACAGGCTCTACC